TCTAAAAATAGAACACAGCAATGATCACAAAAAGGAGTGTGATGACGTGGCAACTATAAATAGAAATAGAATGATGACGTGGAAATACGTCAGAAATATTTATAGAAATAGAATTGACTCATCAACACGTAATCAAATATAAATAGAAATTGTTATAAAAAACAACGAGGAGTTGAATAAAGGTGCAAACTCAGCGTGTCATATGACAAAAATGACAACAAGTATAGTAAAATAACTATTAGCGAACTATTAAAAAACTATAATTTCAATATCATATTAAAATATATATATATATTTTATGAAATGGTCAAAAAACCCTAAAATTAGGGTTAAAATTGAGATAAAAGTACGAATTTGGTATGACAATACTGATAATAATGGTATATATAACACAAAAATTCCTTTGTTTGATTTAATGTTATCAGCCGTCAGGAAATCGTTACATGCACTTCCCTTCGGTTGTTATTTCACTCTTATTTTCCTGACAACTGACAACGTTAAATTTTCACGAATGAATTCACTTATTTAATGCTTTCCATCGATTTGAGAAAAGTGATGGTGGTAAATGAGCATTGCTGTACGCGTTTTTTGCAATGGTTATAGTCATTGAATTTTTTTGTTGTGTTATGTCATCATCATCGTTTAACATTAATAAAAGTAAGGTGTTTATGTTAGCTGTTGAAATGGCTTGGAGTGGAATTATTAATGCTTTTTCTTGTGCTGCTAAGGAGAGTTGGTCGTCGTATAAGTATTGTGGTATTATTTTCCCACTATTGGAGAATTTTAATGTTAAGTAACCCATGGAATTTGGCGGTTTTATGTAAAATGGTCTGGTTGTGTATTTCGATCTTACAAGTGTTGTCTTTTCCGAGTAGGGAATGTTGAGTTCTGACCAACTGGATTCTTCTGTGTTGGTAGGAAGGTCTATTATGAGAGTGGGATAGTTGATTGGAGAGATTGTACTTCCATTTGAATAATATAGTTTGTTGAATATATGTGTTTCTTCTGGTATATTTGTGGTTATTGTAATCTTTGAAAAACCGGAATAGTTTGAATCTGGTGTGTAAGTTGTTGTAGTGTTTTCTTGGATTGATATGTTTTTTGATTGTAGGGCAGGTTGTACGTTTATTGTTGTATTGACCTCTTTTAGTCCGTAATGATTTTCGTCTGGTTTGAGGGTGTAATTTCCATTATTTGTGAATGTATGTGTTAGTGTTTGAAGAGGTGGTCTGACATCTGTTGTTATTGATACTTGATTGAAAGTATGATTTGGTTCAGGAAAGAAGGATTGTTGACCATTTTGGTTTATTAATTTTACTAACATATCTTCTGTTTTAGGAGGTACATCTATTTTGAGGTTCACTTCTTTTATTCCATCATAATTAGGTGGCGTTTTAATTGTATAATTTCCATTTTGGGTTATGTAAGAAGATAAAGTTATAGAATTTATTGTTTGGTTTGTTTCTAAATCTGGTATATTTGTTAGAGAAATTGTTTGTTTCTCGGAAATTAATTCGAATGAATCTTGATTTAATTTGTTACATGTTTTTATAAGGTTTGTTAGGTTTATCTCTGTTTCCATTGTTTAAATGTTTAATGAGATGAGTCGAATAATTAGTCAATTAGATATTTAATTTTCTTTGTTGAAGTATTTGATCCAAATTTCATCAAAAAGACCTGGAGAAATTGTTGAGACTCCACCGTTAATTTCTAAGTCTATTTCAATGAATTGTTGATTTGGATTTTGTTCTCTTCCACTGCCTTCTAATGTTAATGATAGACGTTTGGTTGAATCATTATAATTTAATCTATAAGGAAATATTATTATGTTTTTTTGAGGGGTGATATTGAACCATTGATTTTTGTATGCACCAAAATGTATTGTGTGATCTTTCAAGTCAAAGGTCATTACTGCGTAGAGGATTCCAGTTCCTTCTGTAATCATTATTTCATGATTATCATCATCTCTCATTGTTAGAAATGTTACAGTTGAAGTTGGAATGTTTAGAGATTGCCATGTTTGAGTATTACCATTTTCAGAAGTTATGATTATATGATTGGTTGGTTGTTCATTTATTTGTGTTTGGGTTTCATTATTATCTGGATTAATTCCTGTTAGTTTTATTTTGTTTATTACAAGTAAACTTGGTATATCTTTTAGAGTTATTGTTTCCTTTTCTAAAACAATGTCGTATTGATTCATTTGTAGGATATTACAAATGTTTATTAGGTCTTTAATACTTACTTCCGTATTCATTGATATTTCCAGTTTCTCTTGGATCTTATAATATCAGTTTATGTCGTTTTCATCTAATTCAACCTTTAAGCACAAGAAATATAGTCCAACTAAAGCCACTGTTGATATTTCAAAACGTAATCAGAGACAAGAACTTACTGTTACTATTCCTGTATCAACTGAATGGAAGGGTGCTATGAAAC